CAGAGAGAGGCAGAGAGAGGCAGAGAGAGGCAGAGAGAGGCAGAGAGGTAGAGAGAGGCAGAGAGACAGAGAGGCAGAGATGCAGAGGCAGAATCTCTGAGTTTGAGGCCAGCCTGTTCTACAGAGTGAGTTCCAGGACAGCTAGGGCTACATAGAGAAACCCTGTTTTCAAACAAACAAACAAACAAACAAACAAACAAAACAATACCTGACAAGATTCTAAACTTCAGTAGGAGTCTGACCTTCACTGTATATAAATGGCAAAGGTTATATACAAAGTGTATGTGTGTGAGTGTGTGTGAGCATGCACGTGCATGCATGTGTGAGTCCATGTGTATGTGTCCATGGATATGGACAGATATAAAAGAATAGAGCCATCTTTGAATCAGCAGAACAAAGGTAGTCTAGTTTCTTTTCCAGCATGTCCAGTCTTTAGATAATATTCTACTTTTCTTATCAAGGCAAACTTCCAATATTTGACATTTAGAAAGTCAGTATACGGTGGGGGGGGGGGGGCTGGAGAGATGGCTCAGCGGTTAAGAGCACTGACTGCTCTTCCAGAGGTCCTGAGTTCAATTCCCAGCAACCACATGGTGGCTCACGGCCATCTGTAATGGGATCTGACGCCTTCATCTGTTGTATCTGAAGAAAGCCACAGTGTACTCACATCCATAAAAAACAAATAAATAATTAAATCTTAAAAAAGAAAGAAAGAAAGAAAGTCAGTATACAGGCAGAGAATTACCCACACCTTTCCAGTTCTAGGTATCAAATCAGATGACAACAGAGGTGTCTATTTGGACATTAACTTGTAAGGTAGAAATGCTGTGCTACTTTATTCAAAGTTATACTCTTGGATTTCCTCAATATTCTCTATAAGAAGTGGCTACATGGTAGACAGAAGAAATGTCTCAGTGTTTCAAGATTTAAAGTAAACATCATAATAGAATCGTGATTTACTGTTGAGAGCTTTATAATCAACATTTATTTATATTAATTATGCTAAAACCAGCTTTCCCAGCCAATGCCTGTAAAATGTTGTACAAGCGCCCTCGGGTGGTTAAAATATAAAATTACCAAAAAACATGTTCCATTATGTTGGTGGTGTCGTCTTCAAAAATTTCTGAAACTCCAGCCTGGGATCGAAGAATGGACATGATGTCGTTAGACAAATTTTTAAAACCATTCTGCAAACAGATATTTGTTATTTCTTGCCACTTTTCTAAGGTGCAAAATAAATCACTCATCACAAGATGCTCAATCACATCTGGAAAAAAAAAATACAATATTACATTACAGAATTTCCTGTTAACTTGATAATGGTTCAAAACTGAAGAGACATCAGTGCAATATAGTTACTATGAAACCTGGCCTTGGACCAGTAAGTTTCATGCTATGATAAGTACAGTGCTTAGCCCTAGGTCTTGTAAGTTCCTGAATTAACATTAGTGTATCAACTCAACCCTAGAACATGATTCACCTTCCACCTCCCCACTCTATCCTTTGTACAAGCTTTGTTGGAGGCCATAAGCCCCTTCTTATAGGCACAAGGCCCTGCTTGACACCATCAAGTGTTGAGAGCCTTGTGCTTGAATTTTCACTATACTTTAAACGGCTTCATAAATGCTTTAGTAGTGCTGCCCGAGGGTTTAAGAAACTCCTTAGCAAACCCTAAACCCTTCCTCTGAATAGAGAATATTCTATGTAGTTAGTATCTATAATAAATATTTTCCTAAAAGAAATGGTTTGCTTTTATTTTATTTATTTATTTATTTATTTATTTATTTATTTATTTATTGGTTTTTATTGGTTTGGTTTTTCTAGACAGGATTTCTCTGTGTAGCCCTGGCTGTCCTGGAACTCATTCTGTAGACCAGGCTGGCCTCGAACTCAGAAATCCGTCTGCCTCTGCCTCTCAAGTGCTGGGATTAAAGGCGTGTGCCACCACCACCCAGCGCTAATTAATATTTAAAGTACATATAAAATGATTGCTAACTTACATGGTCACTTACATTAACATTTTATAAGAGTGTTGCCTTTTCCAATGATTATAGCATTCTGATTTGGGCTTAGTAAAGATTTTTCACTCTAATTCCTTCAACAAACATATCCCAATAGACTTACTAACATGGTAATTTTCACATTTACAAACTTCTAATGTTAACTCTGAACTCCATAAATAACTTATTACTATCTCTTTCACAGCAGCATTTGTGGTTACTTACCTATGGTAATATATTGTTCTAAAAATACCTCTTGCCTTCAAGGAGAATCAACTTTTATCAGAACTCAAAATCAAGTTAATAATAAACTTTAGGGGTTGGAGAGATGGCTCAACAGTTAAGAGCACTGACTGCTCTTCCAGAGGTCTTGAGTTCAATTCCCAGCAACTACATGGTGGCTCACAACCATCTGTAATGGGATCTAATGCCCGCTTCTGGTGTGTCTTAAGATAACCACGGTATATTCATATACATAAATAAATCTTT